CACACAACACACACACACAACACACACACAACACACACACACAACACACACACACACAACACACACACACAACACACACACACACAACACACACACACCACACACACACACAACACACACACACAACACACACACACACACTTTCAACTGGATGTTCCAGGTGATGTTGCACAGAATGCCGTGAGGTTGGACACTCGCATTGCCAAGCGGCAACAGCTTGGTCACAAAAACCCTCAGCTCCTTGTCAGTTCCAAAAGGTGTTTGCACACCACCCTTCCAAGGCCAAGAACAAACCTCACCTTCTCACAGGCCTTTCCAAGGATCAACCGCATGCACTCCTAGGCTTCCCCAGCAAACTAGGCCAACCAAAAAGCAAAAAGCCGTCGGTTTGGAGCCATACGATCCGCATGGCCGCATTTGGGCATAGAAAAGGCCAAGGGACGCTTTCAAATGGTTCATTGGCTTCTTGCCCGACGCAACATGACATACTGGAACATGGTGTCCCAGAACTCAGCCAGGCTCCGTGTTAGTGGGGAGTGGGTGATTGGACAAGGATCATTTCACGCATGCACAGTATGCTTTTCACCGCGAGAAGGCAAGCAACGGAACCATGTTCCACCGCCAAACCACAAGCCGAAGGACAACGGAGCGTATCTCCGGGAAGCGGTGTGGGTGTGGAATACGTGGTCGCTTTTCGTGAAACCCAACACCTGACCCCTGGCCGTGGCAACACGGCCTCTCCTTGTTTGGTTGACCCCCTCCACCAAAAAAAAGAAAGGAAACAAGGGCACTGGAGGTAAAACCAACGCCTAGCCAAACTCCCGACTTTAAAGGGAACCCCCCTCGCTACTCCCAGTGCTTCGAGGGCGTCTTCGGCCTCGGCTTGCGTCGGGGGAGCCGGAGCCGCGCCGGCCATGGGCGGCGGCGCGGCCGGCTTCCGCTCCTGGGAGGCATGCCGTGCGTCGAGACACCGACATGGGCGGTCCGTTTTGGGTTTCCCAAACCAAAGGGGACAAGGAGCAGCCTGAAAGCAATCCGAGCCCTTGGAACCGATGGGAAACAGGTGAAATGGGACCAAGCTGGGAGTCTCGTCTCCTTAGGGCAAGCCGCTTGAGCCTAGCCCCAAACTTGGACACTGATCCCAAGCGCGATTCCCGCCCCATACCCAATTCGCGAGCGAGGAATGTGGTCTGAGGCCCCGGGCTTTTACCGATGGCTTCTCCTTTGGCCTCGGATGCCAAAGGGAAAGGGGGAAGAACAGACCCACTTCCGATCGAGATTGCTCAGAAAAAATCACGCATTTTGTGCAAGCCACTGAAATGGCACCTTATTCCAACAAGTGGCCAAAGTCCAACTCAAGTTCACTCGTTCCCCGTGGTTCCTTTTTAGTACTGGCTTGCTCTTTGAATATCCTACGGGGCTCTTTGTGGATCCGCAGATTCGCCACATCCAAACCGGGGTCGCTCGCTCAGCCAATGCTCCGAGCTGGGCTCCCAGGCCTTGGCTTTGCCTCCGCCTGGCAGCTTTCCGTCGAGACTTACAAACTTTGATGGCCACTTTGGGACATTGCCCCGTGTTTTGTTGACTCCCCGACTTGAGAAACACGCAAGTATCCTTTGGGTATGAACATGAGAACTGCAAGTAGTTTTTCTGGCACGCAAGCTTGTACGCATTTGTTGCATCTAAGGCATAAAGACTCTCACATACATTCCCCTCCATTTCGTTGGCTCACTGCTTTGACACAGCAACCACGGCCTTCGATTTCAATGTGACTTGTGATCGCCTGCCTTGGCGCCCGCAACTCTGCCCCTGGCGCCAGGAAAGCACGATGGGGCTGAACCGCGCTCGGGTTGGGGCATTCGGGCCTCAAGCAGCTCCCCAAAGGACCTGCCCACAAAGTTGATTTGTGCAATCCTTGTGCATCCCCCTCCTTCATTCAGAGGCCCCAATGGCGCTTTGGGTGTGGAGTTTGGGAGCCCCCACTTAACCAGGTATCAAAGCTGACCACCAACCCAAACCCGGGGATTCTAATGGATCAAGCACGCAAAGCATAGGCGGCTCATGTTCATTTTTCTCCATCCGCTCCAACCGCTTGTGTACTTCCGACCCTTGCTCTATGTAGCTTGTTTGAGGCTCATTGAACTGCCTTCAACTTTGTGGATCTTTAAGTGTGGACCGTCTGTGTTTTGTTGTTGTTGTTGTTTGAAATGTCGCAAGGAGCTCACCGAAGGAATGCGCGCACGGCGCCCTTTGTGACTCATTGAAGGCTCCAGGATTGGTAGACGTATGGGGGTTCCTTCTCTCACCTGCCCAAAGGATATGGGAATCAAAGCTTAGCCTTTTGGAAGCTCCACCAAATCTAAGAAAAGAAAAGGGCAAAAGAGCGGCATTGGACACTTCGACAGATTTTGTGTCAGTGGCTGAGTCAGCATTGGAAGCCTTTAACCGAGTTTCATTTTCCCTTTGCACATCACCCATTGTGGCACCTCAGGATTTGGACAGGGAACCCTATCTCTTCTTCTGAAAGATACCACCACCAAGAGAAATCTCATCAAAAAGTGGCGGAACCCCCTTGAAGGAACCCCGGAGCCCTCCCTGAAAGCTCCGAATGCAGAGACCCCTAAGCTTTCAGCTGGGGAACAAGGGCACCCAAAAACATGTTTGAGGGTCCCCCGTTTTTTGGGTTCAAGGGAAACTCAAGGAACACCATCCTCTTTTTTTTTTGGGGGGGGGGGGGCCCTAAAAAACAGACATGCCCATTTTCTTTGGGACCCCTGCTTTCCGCTGAGGTCCACGCTTTGGCGGACTTCTGGCAGTCGGGGCTCGCCTCAGTGACTTTTTCCATGAGCTCTTCAGGTTGGCGTTTAAGGGAAGCCAAAAGGAAATCACTATCTTGGGGTCCCCTTTGCGGCGTGCAATTGACAAGATCCATCCATGGCAGGCGGCCTTTCCTCTCGTCAGTTCTTCCTCTTGCGTGTTGGCAGGGTGCCATGTCTAACGCATGGATTCATTTGCAATGGCATATTCCAAAAACAACCACTATTTGCTAAAGGGATACATTGACCGCAAGGTGTTCTTTGAAGGGTTCTTCGAAAGCTGCGGCGGTAAAACGAGCAGGAAGAATCTGTTCTGCAGAACCATGAGTCGAAGTTCCTTGGCGCCGGCTGTCCGTTTCGCGCGCCCTGCGTGAATTTGGGAAATCCTTGGACTGCTTCGGTATGCTTCAGGAGGGTTTCCTACAGCTTCAGAACATGACCTGCTTGTGGGATTGTAGCCCCAAAATCGGGGGTGGGGTTCCTCTTGGAATGGCTTGGACACATCTAAAGGAGACCAACTGGGCAACATGTCCAGTCACCCTGTTCTGCGATACAGTTGTCTGGGTACGGAATGCGGGCTCTGGACAAATCGAATTTTCCTTCATCCCGGTTTGGTTTCCTCCAAGGAATATGAAGCACGATGGGCGACTTTCAGCACCCTGCTGCGACTTCGCGGGATGTTTCAAGGGCTCACAGAAATCGGCAAGAAGCCCCCAAAGGTTCCATTCGAGTCACGCCTCCCCAATGGCTTTGGTCAGCGATCCAAGTTGTGGGCTTTTGTGTCGTTTCCGGATGGTAGGTGACATGGCCTGGCTCCTTCGGCCTTAAACCGGTGGGGAGGATCAAAACAAGTCCTCCTGGACCAAGAACTGCCAGGAGGCCCATGTACTTTTAGCAGCAAGGAAGTCCAAAGGCAGACCCGTGCCTTTTCCACCAGCCAGCTTTTTGCACCAAGCCTTCCCTCTAACTGGTGGCTTGGATTGGTTTGATGGCTCAGGAGGGGTTCCCTGCAAAAGCCAGAGAAAACACAAAAGTCCCCAAGCCACCAATACAAACCACCAATCAAGGGTTGCCTGAAACACACATTGTTTTTGGTTTGGAGAAAAGGCCAGGAGTCGTGTTCGTCAAACCGGGCCCGGTGGACTGTCGAACAGGACGCCGAGACCGCGCTACCGAGCTGGGGCCAAGCGGAGAGATTTCAGCTCTAGGCCGCGCGCGCGGAAGAAGCAGCGAACGCTGGCGCAGAGGCCGAAGCCGCCGTGTCCTTGCCCGGTGTGTGACATCTGTCTCTGGGATGCCCTTTGGATGTCTGACAGGACTCTGAAAAAGTAAGCACATCCCAAAAAGCCGTTTCGTTTCTTCACGCGGGGCCGAAACTCTTGTCCCCTGACTCAAAATCAGCTTCCCTGGGCGCAGGTTTCCCCGAGCTGTCAATCACCAGCAACCTCGTGCCGTTTGCGTTGAATGAATTTACTTGGGATGTCCTTGGCTCTTCTTTGACATATTGCCATGGCCAAAAACCGGTCCTTTGCCCTGAACGTCCGCGGTTGTGTTGGTTTCGTGAGCAAGCTCAGATAGGATCCACTGGACCAGGTTGTCCCTCCGCCTTTGGGAAAGTTATTGCCTATCTCGACGAGGAATCCACCTTAGATGGGGACATCTAATCATTTTGACACCAGGCTGTCTCAAACATAGGTCAAGCTTCTCACCAGCATTTTGATAGTTGGTTGCCATGTGACACGCACGCCTCAGGCTCCTGGCTAACTCATTTTAGATCAACTTTGATGACCCAAGTGGGTTCTCCTGTTGCCCAAGCCCATGGGATCATACGAAGGGTCAGTCGACTGAATGAAACCAAAACTTTCCACATCCTGCAGGTTGACTGGGGGGCCTTGGAACTCACATGAAGGAATGGCTAGAATTCCACCACCTGTGGGCAATCCGACTCCCAAATCACTCCCAAAGGCAAATGGGATATTAGAACTCCTACAACATCGGAGAAGCCGAATAATCTTCCTGAGTGGATTGGCCAGAAAAAAAAAACCTGAACTTTGTGACCAATAGAAAGGGCTTCCCCCAAAGTCTGAAGTCCATGGGGGGGAGTGAGACGCTTTTGGCAGATGTTGAAAGGGCTGGAAACCACGGCCTCATTTTTGCTCTCCCAAAGATCGGAAAAAAGGAGAGGACCAAGCGACTGAGCGCTTTTTCACCTCTGGGTGTGCGGCTCGGCTGCGGCGCGGGGAGTGTACGCCGCTGCCCTGGCGGCTACTGCACCGAAAGTCTAAGTACATTCTTGCGGTTTCGTGGGAAGCGTCATTTCCCCAAGTCCAACGATCCAATAGCATCCAAGAAAACGGATCAGCCCAAAAAGCTGACTCTTCTTTGCAGCCCCCCCCCCCCAGAAATTAATTCGGTCAAAGCAGAAAGCAAAAGTGTAAAATCACAAAAGGGTCGGAGGTCAACAAACATAAGGCAAAAACATAAAACAAGCACACATCCGCACAACGAGGGAGGCTGGTGGGTGGTGTTTCAAGGGAAAGGATCTCAATGCAAAGCTTAGGGCAGCTTAAACTGGGTGGAGGGGGCCGAACTTCTCTCCTGACATTGGCAATCACATGTTGCCTTTTGGAACTTTGACTGGCGGTCGACCAATCTAATGTTGACCCCGGATTGCTAATCTCATGACTTAACAAGGGGGTGTTTCCTTTTGAAGTAAAAAGGATCCCGTCTAAGTCCAAGGACGCCCCCAGTACTCCACCAGGGGCGTATGGATCCGGGGGCTTTTCGCCGGCGAAATCCAGCGGCCTGACGCGTGGGCGACACAGGGCGCACTGCGCAGCTCCTGGCAAGGCGGATGGCCGCTCTTGGAATCCTGACGCTTGTAATGTTGACCTCATATCCATCAACCCCAGTTTATTCATAAGAGCTGTTCACCTCCAAAAGTGATGGTTCCTCACTAAACTTAATAAACTGGGGTTGATTACTATGGGGCTATGGTGTTAGCATTAAGGATTCCGAACCCTCCCTCCATTCATGGAAGCTGACGATCGGAGGGTGTTGGAAGACGATGTTCCTTTTGGGAACCCACTTCTCTTGAAAAAGCTTTGCTCAAAGTTTGGATGACCATACCTCCTTTCTCTCCAACGTCGCTTCAACCACAGGAGACTTATACTGATTGCAGCTATGATCCACTAACCTGGAATGAGTTTTCGAGGAACCAGCCGGTGGAATTGCTGCATTGCTCGCAGGGGGAGTGCAGATCGCTGTTCTTGACCCTTTCCCAGCGCAACTGGGGAAGTGGGACTTCTTTGTTGCGGTCAGATTTCCCTTAGCCGACTGAAAGGGGACAGGGCGCTCAAGAAAGCAGCCTCCCATCTGAGTAATTTCCGGGTTGATGACTAAACAACCAAGTGATGTCAGGGCAAAAGTGGCGTAGAGCAATTCAAAGGAGGGGAATTGTGGGAAGACAAGAAGCACTTTGCTGGTGCGAGAGATGCAGGGAATGAGAAATGGAATGACCCTGAGACAAACCATCCCTTGTGGTTTGTTTCCTTTAAGGGAGTTCTGAAACGGTTGATTCCCAACACTCGGACTGGTTGTCATTCTCTAGCCACTGGGCACCGGCAAGAAACAATCAGGGAAACCTAATCGAAGAGGCTTCCCGATTTCGTCCAAGGAGCACAGATCTGGGCGAGGACGGCCCGGACATCACCTCGCGCCCCGGGAAATAGGTCCAAGTCGGGCCAAACGTGGCCTGACCAGTTGGGAGTCTTTGTCCGGTTTGCAGGGTTGACTTTTGCAACCCTTCAGGCAAGCTCATAGATTTGGGGGGGATCTGACACTGAAAGCGGGCTATGCATTTTCTGCGGTGGGCTTCAGGAGAACCCTGCTCCCTGCCCTCTGACACAGTACCTGCTTCAAAGCTGGCCATGGTCCACACACAATCACCATTTATCCAGCCACCAAAACGTTCGAAAGGTTGAATGCTTGGCTTTCTACAAGCCACCCCAAAAATGCACTCGGGCCAAGGAATTGCTACAACTAAATACGCTTAAAACAAATTCAACGCTCTGCCAGCCTGGGAAACAACTTTCACGGGCCCTGGAAGTTGTCCTTCGACGCGGGCGACTCGTCATTTCCAACTTGTTGCCAGGCCTGGCCTAGGGTTGGTTTCTTGTCTCAATCTCTCGCATACCCAACGAGGAAAGCCACTCCGCTCGTTTGACCCTTCTGCTTGTTGCAGCCCCCTCATTCTGCCGAGCTATGAAGGCTTTGCTTTTGGGCCCCGAGGGGACCGGTGTTGCAGCAGGCAGCCAAACAAGCAAGACAGGAACCCGGTCCCTTGTTTCCCCCAAACATATGTTGACATTGGTCAAAATTGGTCCAAACGTATCTGCTGGTTCAAATCCCATTTTGATAGGTTTGAGTTTGGCTTCAGCCAGGCTAAAAAGAGGCGACCTAAGCTTCCATGTTCCAACACTAAGCCTTGGAGCCAGTGACACCCCAAGTCCCCCCAAAACGAGGATTCCCCAAGGGTGAGATCCCGCTTTTGAGTCAAACTGGGCGGTATCCCTAGCTGTGCCCACTTGACCCAAACCTCCAAGCAGTTTCTTTGCGGCTTTCTGTAGTCAAAAAGTCGAAAGCTCGGGAACTCGACATCTGCAGATTCCCGAGAAAGAACTTGCCAAACATGGCGTCTAGCGTGTGGGATGGGTTCCTTCCGTTCCGAATCGCTGGAACCAAGGAATTGAATTCGTGAGGATGGGGAAGCCTGAAAAAACAACCCTTGTTTCAGTCAGGGTTCCCCATTTTTGGTTGATTACCAAGTAGACTTCATGGGCTTTCCCTTTTGGGGGGAATTGGGCTTTGGCCGTCCTTCGGTCAGTTCAAACATGGACGGGTCTCCTCACTCTTGGCCCATAGCTGCGAGTCCTTAGGGTTCCACTTTGAATTGCCCCAACTCAGTTGCCTCAGTTGCCCAAAGGACCTGGAAATAAAAGGTTAACCTTTTGGGACCATGACCAAAACTGGACCAAAACCAGAAAACCAAAAGGCTAAAAGGTCGGCTTTGGGCAAATGAGTTGCGCTGGAGACCCAGAATTCAAAGGTGATCACCTTTTGGCCTTTTGGACGTGGGCTGGACCACAGGAAAACCCAAAGTGGTCAGATCCGGTCGATTTGCTTTGGGCAACGGAGGCTTTGGGCAACTGAGACTTAAACCCGGCCCATTTCTCACGCAGGGAATGCAGGGCTTACGCCAAGTGATTCATTCGCCTATGCAGGAAACCAGACTTTTGTCTTAAAATGAAACAAACAACGACAACAGGAACATGGCTGGTTCCCCTCGCGTCACGGAACCGGAGGTTTCCTGCAAAAATGAGCTCCGGACTTTCTTGTGGCGTCCATCTTGGGCAGGGTACCCACTTTGCCCGATGCTCCGCGCCTGAGGGTTCACGCGCCGCCGGCCTGGCCTCGACGAGGAGAAGAGGGGCCCAGAGTCGCCGGGGTGTTTTTGGGTCCTTTTTGGAAATTTTGTCTGTGTTGTGGTTATTTGGGATTCAGGCGGAAGCTGGTCTTTTTTTTTTGCGGAAGACCTCTGTTTGGGGGTACTTGTTATGTGCGGCTTTGCTGTGGGGGTTGAAGCGAAACAGGAAACCAGCCTAGACCAGGCCAACAGAAACATGGGTTTGTCTCAAAAGAAACCTCCAAACTGGACAGTGTTCCTGTTTTTCAACCAGCCCCAAAGAGTGCCCGTAAACAAACACACCCACACACCCACACCCATACACCCACACACTCCCACACAAACTGGACAACTAGCGTTGGGTAGGTCTTAAGCCTGTGTACCATTCACAACGGATCCCAACCTGAAGAAGCAACTCAGATTCGCCTGAAAATGTGGATGCTTTTCAACTGGTTCCTCCAAGTGTATACAGCTGGGTGTTTCCTCCTTCATGGTGTGAAACAGTGAATGCCGGCTTGTGATACATCCAATGTTACAAGGGGTGTGCGCCCAAACATCTGAGTTCATGTGGCAACGGACATCGCTCATTTCAAGTGTCCCGAATCAGTTCTCAGCAGCATTCAGCGTTGCACGTGTCAAAAGGCAGGCATCGCAGCTTGTCCTTTGATCATGCATGTATGACCTACCACCTGAAAGTGGCATTCCACAAACAGGTCGACCCCTACCCGCAAAACCGCAAACGTTGCGCCGTTTCGGGCCCCATATGGACCACACACCCTCCCTGCAAGCTTGGCAACGGCCTCCTGGAAAAAAACACTTATTTCCAGTAGTGACAGATGCCGTCAGATGCCCTTGAAAACCAAAAAGGGACAATACAACATACTCATTTCAGCAAATGACACATGTTGCTCGAGCGTGGCAAGCGCTGGTAGCATGAGCTGGCCGAAGCAAAGCTGGAAGCGCTGTCTGCAATGTCAATCATCCGAAGGGCTTGGAGTAGCCATTGATTCAAGCTTGCTTGACGAAGGCAGAGATGAGCAAAGAGAAAAACCCGAGAGAGCTTGCAAAACGTGCAAAGAAAGCAGGTGAAGCGCAAAGCGAAGGACGTAAACCAGGGAGGCTGCAAAACAGAACGCAACTGCTGGTCTTCTGCCGCCGTGAGTCGTGCAATGCCAACAAGCGTAGTTTCAACCTGAGACCCGCATCCCCCAACGACGGTGTGTTTTCCTCTATGCGCGGGGGTTCTGAAGGCTGCCCTCACAGGTCGGGTGACAAGCGATGCGCCAAAGCTGCCGCTGTGGACGAAGCGCGGTGCTCCGTTGAGGCCCTCTGAAAGAGGTACGTCTGAAGCATCTTTTTGCAGGCCATCCCGCATTTAAAGACAATACAAGCTCTTGAAAAAGTGCAGCAGTCGCTCGCGGGTGCACAGCCGAATCTTGCTGCTTGACCGGGCATCGGTCGGGGTCTCGGTCAGGTCCCTTTGACCTTCGAAATTGGAAGGCTGCCATTGCAAAAACCAGCTGCGACAAGGGTCAGTGACGTGCACTTGGTTCTCAGCTTGCAGCTGTTCTGCTTTTGCAGAAGCGCTGCTCTTGTGCAATTGCAGTCGCTGGGCCGGAGAAGGCATCGCCATTTCCCAGCCGGTTTGCAAAGCAACCGGGTTTCCATGTTTAGCAACCCCAATCTAGAACCTCTGCAGAATCAAAACCAAAGCAAGAAACGTGAACACCAGCTTTCAGGGCCCTCCCGGCTTAATTTGAATTGAATTGAAACTCTTGGGGAGTCACCCAAAGAGGCGACTCTGTTTTGGGGCCCCAGGTGCCAAAGTGCAAGGCCAGACTTCGGAGCCAGGCGGTCGCGCCGACTCCCGGGGCCCCTGGCGTCATTGTGATAGGCACCCTGGCTGAGACCTGCTTTGCCTTGGCCGCCGGGCTGGTGGCTTTCTTGAAACGCAGCCTTTGCAGCTTGGCGAGGAGAACCAAAAGGGAACCCACCAAATAGCGGGGCCCTGCCCCCTCTGTTTTCGACCTGCATGCAACAATGAGCCTGCTGAAGAAGGTTCTCAAACCCTCATTGTTAGAGGCCAGTCGTCTTTTGGGGGTCCAACTTTTGGGTTCCATGCCCCCATAACACGGTTCTTTTTTGGGGGCTCCACATGCAGAGTGGCAAGCCCTTCCAGTTTGCAAACCACATGTCTAGTCCCAACTTGTTGCCTGAGCCTCGCAAATTGGGGGCTGGATCGAGTTCTCTGCTAAACTCCATGACTGAGGCCTGTTGTGTAAAAGACTCCAGGAAAACAAACATCGGACGCATGGCGCTCTCGTTCGCAAGGTTGTGACTCTTTTTTCCCCATGCTTCTTTTCCAATCCTCCCTACTTGAACATCGACCTCTCAAAGCCCGGCGCGTCTTAATTCCTAACGCTTGTTGATTTGCGCAGAAGGGTCAAGTAACACTTCCGGTTGCTGAAGGCCTGGAAACATGGGACCATCTGTCCAGTGGAATTGATTCCCTTTCAAAACCAACAGGGAAAAATCAGAGAAACACACATCATTCCAGCAAAATGGAAGATGAGTTTTTTTTTTCTGGTGGGTTGATAATTAACTCTGGTTTCTTTTACCTAACAAAGACTGGGTCAAGGGCTTCCAAAGGCCCAACTTGAACCTGGTGGAGTGTTCCGAAGTCCATGGGCTCCAGGACTAAGGCTGCGGCTCGCGGGCTGCGGCCTGCGAAACCGGTTTCGGCGGGGCTGCGGGTTTCCAAGAACCCAACTTGGCGAGTGGAAACCAAAATGCACAACAAGAACCCGTTGGAGGGGCGCCAACATTTTGGAGACACCTCAACTTGGAGACTACCCTCACGTTGCCGAGAAGTGTCCAATGAGGAGCCTCGACTTGCCAGATTGGGCTAAGTCCCATGGCACAGGTGCCCAAGCGGGAAAATACAAGGAAGGCTAGCCCCAGGATACAAAGCACTACGACGGGCCTTCTGAGACTTCGAGCTTCAGCAACCCGTTTCAATCAGCCTCGTTTAGGTTTCAATCCAAGGGCCTGGGTGCCTTTTCACCACCTGGGCAGTTGCCTAACCCCTTCTGCAGCTCCCTTTGCTTCTGAATAGGCCTGGCTTGTGAAAGCCAATGCGCCACACAATCCCAAGGATTGCATTCTCTCAGAATGCATCCCCTATGATTTTCAGCCAAAGGACACATCGGCTTCTCAAAGGGTTCTGATGCATACATTTCAAGCTTGGTGGGAGAGGGCAAACACAGAAAAAAAGGACTTGGGGGAGCAACCCGACAAATGAGCTGTTCAGCCCCAGGAAAACAAGGGGACCCTATCAAGTTCTCAAGTGGTTTGGCCAACAAGTTAGCCATCCATGGAGTTTGGCCTTGAACTCGAACACTTGGACCACGCAGCCCCCCTCCCCCCAGCAAAACCCATTGAAATTATCTTGTGCCTGAACTTTTGTGAAAGGGCAAAGGCTTGTGAGCATTGGTCCAGTCGCAAGTCGCTTTGAACAAGTCAAGTGGGTAAACTTCCCAAGAGACCCTTAGGCCAGCCACTCGTCAGCCTGCGTTGGATCCTGCAGACCTGAAATGCGTAAGGCCAGCTTTGTGACTAATCTATTGCAGCTAAAAGAAACTCCGTCGCATCCAAAAAGGCACCGGTGGCCGATTTCAAAAAACAATCTGTTGGTGGCAATTGATGTATGGGGGAACTTGAGCTCGTGTTTGTCTCCGAGTCCTTGAAACAGGTTGGGCCCCCCTTCTACTTGATTTAGTGGGAGTTATAGTAAGGGCTGCATCGACCTTTACGATGATTTTGGTAGCAAAAGTCCATCGGTTTTGTGGCTCATCCACTTGGAACCCAAACAGGCGGCCCAGGGGCTGCTCAATTTGCCAGGCGTCTGGGTTCGAGTGGCTTGAGAACCCTAAGGCGTTCAGTGAAGCGATGGATCCTTTGCCTCCAGGGGTCATGATTGCCACCAACACATTGCACTAGTTGAGGGGAAGCCCCTCTCATCCAGTTCAGATTCTCATGCCATGTTTCCTATTTCCACAAAGGGAAGTATGGACATATGTCGAAATTGAGGGCCCAAGAAAACATGGCTTTCCTGTTGGCTTCCCTTCGAACTAACCGAAAAGACAGGGTCCTTACTACCCTTGGTTGCTCCAAGCCTCCCCTGAGAAAAAGGTTGTTAGACCTCTTGTAGGTTTAATGGAAAAGCCATCAGTGTCCAACATGTCTAACAGGCCATCCACTCCGAAAAATGAAGTACCACTGACGAGCACTTTGTCCAAGCGGCGGGTTGACAGGGCTGATTGGGCTCACAGGGCTGGTTGCGCCTCGGAGCGAGCGGCACGGAATGGAGGGAAAGACCCACCGCAGGCAGGTGTGCAACCCATGGATCATTCTCTGGAGCTTTCATATTTCAAGCTGAATGACAGAAAATGTCCAGATTGTCTCCAGGCCGGAGAGTGAAGCCTGGAATCTTCATACCTTTCTCAGGCAGAAAGACACTGCAACCGCAAGTTCCACTTGACACCATGTTCCCTTGAATTGCCAAATGATTTGCTTCAACGGGGAGCAGGACTAATGTTGACCCCCAATTCATAAAGCCGTCCTACTATTGGTGCGTGTTTGTTGAATCAACAAGGCTTCATGAATCTGGGGATCCCATGACCTCAAGCTTTTCGGGCTAAACGCTCAGCTTTTACTTGGTAGCCACTGAGCCGGATGGCTGTGAACCACTCAATCGCTGGGATCCCTGCTGGGCAAACGCTCGCCCGGATCGCCTCACCAAATTCACTCACTTGGCCCGGAAAGGACCCGGAAATAAAACCTGGGACGCTGACGAAAACATCCGGCAAAAGTGAAGGGACACCAGCAGGTTAAAAAGTCCCACCGAATCTGGTGAATCAACGGGTGAAAAGGTCGATTCGCTTTGGGCAACTGAGTTCATCCGAGCGAAGATGCATACCCTACGCCGCCAAACAACATCAATGCCCATGGGCGCCTGTTGAGTGACTGGTCCCCCCTTCAGCCCGGGGCTTGGGAACCTTAAAGCAAGCCCAAGGCCTGAGCATCAGCTCCCGTGGGAATGCGCAGTGCGTTTGGGGTACTGTCCGGATGGCCATGGAACGGAGGCGCCCAGATTTTCAGCCAGGTTCCAACTGGGGTCCTAGCTGAAAAAGGCCGCTCACCTTAGATATGCTTTATTTTGAGTAAGAGGTGGTGCTTAAAAAACCGCCGCATGGAAATGTAGGGAACACAAACGAACACGAGTGCTCCTCCAAAAACTGGCACATGTTTCCTCCCAGGCTTCTTTTGACCAAAACTTGGGTTGACCCTCCTCACCAGCAGAACGACCCGGAAAGAAAATCCATCTCATTTCCAAAACTGGCAGGGGCTTTGACAGACCAACGTCATCTTGAAAAAGCGTCCTGTCCTCTTTAGCGGCGGGTTTTGGATCCCGAAACATACCAACAACCTTCAGTCTAAATCCGTTGAGACCCTTGGAGATCCGCTTGGACCCCGAAGAGACTCTCTCTGCAAACCTGAAGGGTCCCGTGGGAAAGCGCAAGGCAAAGCCAGGTACAGAACTGGCCAGCTTCAGCCCCAAACCTGGCGTGGCAGGAAGCCCCCCACTAACATTGAACAGAACCTGCCAAAAATAGCACACAAACAAACCAAATAAACCTCTACTTGCTTCTTTGCCCCCCGGAAAACATGAGAGCATATTTCCGGTAGTGGAATGATTTTAAAACCAGCAGGGGATTGAAAAACAAAAACATCTCCATTCGGACACACGAGAACCCAAATCAGGGAAACCAACAGGCGACATATTTTTTAATACAACGCAAACCAAAACAGCACACATTCATTTCAGTGAAGAAAAAAACATGTTCGTTTCAGCACATGGAAGTCACCATCTCCTCCCCCACCCCCCACCCCGCCTTTGCCAGGCGACTGGTTGCGCACTGCGCCCGGCTTCGCCGCCGTGTGCATCGCTGCCTTGGGCACCGCCACCGCGGCGGCGGCGAGGGCCGCCTCGGCCGCGGCGGAGGTCTGGGCGAGGCATTGGATCAAGGCCGCGGTGGCGCAGAGCCGCACCTGGCGCTTCGCGAGGCGAATGGCGCTGTCCATTTGGGGATCTTGACTCGGAATCCCCGAAGCAAAGCTATTCTCAAACGAATGCTCTGGATGGTTCGGTTCGAAATCCCCGGAAATTAGGTGTTGGCAATCGCACATGGTTTGTGTTAACGTCCCTGGCCGACTTCAGTCTTGGACAATTCTGGAGTTGGTTGGCGCAGCAAGGAAAGCGGAGCTGTCTTTTCTGAGGGTGGAGTTGATTTTTCTTCGCAAAGTCAAAAGGAACACCACCATTTACTTTGGGGTCCCCAGCAAAATACGTCACAATGTGTCTCAAAATCGTGAAACCTGTGAAACTGTCGATTTGCGTTGCCTTTAGATTGGCCCCGGCAAGGGTCAGAGAGGGTGCCGGCCCTTGCCTCTCCACAGGAATTAGGTGCAAGTGCAACCCAAGGGAAAGATGTGTCTGTGCGTGTGTGTGTGTGTGTGTGTGTGTGCTGAGTGTCAGATGTACTTTGATATTACGATGTGCATTTGAATTCAGGGGAGAGCGGCATGACTGAGGGACAGCACTCAACGAAGCTAACCTCAGTCATGAAATACTGGATCTGTCAATCCGGCGTCCCTGCAGTCCGTGAATCTGAAAGTCCTCTTGGTCCCCAGGCGACCCTAGAAAAGACTTCGGTTTTCTCTTCGGGCTCCCTTTTTGCTCCGACCAACGGGTCCCCAGAAAAAGAAGAAGAAGCAAAAACGCACACGCCACGTCGAGCTGCTCGCCTGGGCTTCGCGGGTCCTCAGAAGCTGGTCTCCGATTCCGCCCGATCGACGGCTTTATTTAAAGGAAGCGTGCAAAGCCCGGGCCTCTGACTACATGCTGATTACATGGGACCCGAAAAGGGGAGTTCTACAAAAGGCAAGTCCCCCAACACAAATGGATGTGGGGTTGCGCGTTAAGCAGGAGAGTGCTAAGCCAACTATTGCCCCCATCCGTGATTCGAGTTTGGAGCTGTGTGTCAGGATTCAAGATGGAAGTCTTCCTAGCAAAGCATCATGAAGATTCGTGTCCTTTTGGGAAACTCGATGGGCCTGGATTGTGAAACAATCAGGTCAACCCAGGAGCATCTCTCCCTTAAGCTTTTACCAAGGCAACCAACAAGGACACCCATGATCATGACTGGGGGCAGGGATGTGCTGTACATTTCCCTTGGGAACATCCCCACTTTGAGTTGACCCCTCCAGCATGTTCGAAAGGACCCAAAAGATTGGACATGCGCCACCTAGAACTCAAAAAAACACTCGTTGGAAAACCACCCTGTCAGGGGTAACCTAGTTGCAGCTTCCAAGTCATCTACTGTGGCAGTCGATGGAGGCTGCCCTACCGTGTTGCCGGGCAACTAAACCTTGTGAATTGAAAGGGGGTCGCCAAAGAAAGATCAGCAAAAGGCAAAAATCATTTCCATTCTCATCCCTTCATTTCCCTTCGCTTTCTCTTCTTCGCCTGCCATTTTATACATGAGATGATAGGTGAGAGAGAAATAGATCAGAAAGTGAAAGAACAAAGTAAAAATCAGTCACTATTTAGAGTTTTCAATTCTGGGAATTCTCATACAAACAAACAAGAAGATAGAAAAAGAAGGACCACATTAGGAGTGGCATTCACGTTCTAATGATTCTTTCCCTTGGAAATCAACTTCTCAAGGCAGGTTCTATTCTTTTTGTCCATTTCACACCTGCAACCTCTATCTCCCTAACATCTTCTTTTGGTTGCCAGCATATTGTTGGCTGCGTGTGGGAAAGGGGATGAGGCAAGAGGAAGAAGTCATATTGTATCACCTCTGGATTTATGAGCTTCTTGAGGATATGAAATAAACTAAAGAAGAGACATCATTAAGGGAGGAAATGTCTTTCAGCTTATAGATTCCTCTGATTATTGCATCTTGATTATGTTGGTATTTCTTAGTTACCCGCCGTCTCCCATAGATCTCCAGATATTATGTGTGAGAGAAGCTGAGAGTCTTTCTGTGAGCGCTTGTCCATCATTCATCTGTTCCCTCGCTAGCTCTCTCCTATCATCTCTGGCCTATCTCCTCAAAAATGGGAACCCCATGACTCAACCAGGGCCTGATTTCCCCAGGGAGCAAGAAACAATCCAAAGAACTCCCCCAAGTGTTGGGAGGGGCTTTCTGCAACAAACAGGCCTGGTGTGGCCAACTCAAGCCTCGTTCCGACCCCAAATCGGTTTTTGACCTCCATGCTACCTGGCTTGTTTGGGGGCCGTTTGAAAGCTCCTTAAACAACTTCTAACCTTGGGCATCCTTCAGATCCCAGGCTTGGGATTGACGCACTCCAAGCGCCAGGCTGCCGATCGTCCTGGCCGAGAGGGCGGGCATGCCGTTGACTCGCCACAGAAAGCTTTGGGGTCGCTCACCTCACCCGGCCCCGCGTGAAAGCGCCGTGAGCGCGGTGCGCAAACCCCCGTGGCCTCCAGCTGCAGCGGAGGCAATCGTCATCGGACCCGTAGCCAACGGAGCTACGAGCGTTGACCGAATCGCTGCGTAGAGAGTCTCCGACTGGGGCTGAACCATAGGCCACTGAGAAACTCTGCGAGGCGATGCCAGGTTACGCTTTTTGCAGAGCAGCCTGGTCAGGTATGTCAGCAAGCGGCCGAACATCTTCTTGGACATGTCTCCACGCATTCCAAGAAGCAGCTCATTTTTTGCGCGAACTAAGACTTTCTCGAGGAGCTTCTTTCGACTTGACAACCTGAACTGACACGTCATCGAGTGGGCGAGGTATTAGCAGCAAGTGAGGTAATGCTAATCCCTGATTAATTATCAAGCCCTGGTTGATTCATCGGGGTGTCCACTTTGAGTGGGAAGTTTCACTTTTCGGTGTGACAACTCCCCCCCAAGGTATGGGTTTGTTCATCCGAGGCTCCCCATTAGGTTGAATCTTGCACAGTGGCCATCGAGCCATGGATGATGATGTTCGATCATTGGGTGTCTGCCTGTACCCGGCCATCCAAGCATCTCTCAAGTTTGCTGGTGAGGGAGTCGCATCGCAAGATACTTGGGAGACTGACAGTAAATACAGGCCTGGCAACATCAGCTGTTTCTCATCCCTGTTGGGCTCCCTTGGGGGAAAGCATCAGTTTGTGGGTTGCTCAACACCTCGGTCAATTCTCCCCTGCCCTGCCAACTGATGTTCCGTATTTTAGTGAAAAAACAAATGTGGCAGTGGCTCAAAAAACCGGTACCAAAATGGAACCTGGTAAGTGGAAACGTGGACCAAAACCTGCGGTTTGCCCCTCCTGTTTGAGCCACACCCATGTGAGAAAATGGCACTTGAGCCCTGCGGCACGCGCCTCTGTCTCTTTAGGCCTGGGCACGCGTTGCGTTGCAAAAATGGGTAATCAGGGACTCCGGAGTGGAGATTACGTACATAAACCCAGCAACCATTCTTGATGGCCTCTCATTCAAAAAGCATATGCAAATCAAGGAAACTCAATGTTTGCGCCGCAAACATGCTCAGAACTTGCTTCAAAATCATATTCTAGGAATCATCCAAGCGAGTAGAAGCTTTGCCAAGGCGCTTCCGAACAATGCAACCACCTGCGAATGAACTCAGATCCCACCTCTTTGTGAGGCCGCTGCTCCAAGGAAAGGGCGCCATCATCTTGAGCTTTAAGTGGGCGGGATGGTTTTTCTCGCGCCAAGAGAAACGATGGGACATGCGCAAAGGGCCTCCCCTTGATGCTGGAGCTGTGCAAAAAGCTCCTCATTTCTGGTCACAGATTTGTCAAAGTGAAGGTTCAAGACCCCGCCAATACCAGACTTACCCCGGTTTTTGGTGTCCAAATAGACCCCCAACACCCTTCCCCCCCCCCCCCACCAAAAAAAAAGGTGTCTAAATGGACCCCCAACACCCTTCCCCCAAAAACAAAAACAAACAACAAAAACACAAAAAAACAAAAACGAAAAGGACAAAAGGGGCCCATGGGAGGCCAACGAAAAAGCGCGCACCGAACGGCACCTAAGGCTGCAGCTCACCGACGGAGGTCTCCGTGCTCGCCTAAGTTCATGAAGCATCTGACTCCTTAAGGGGGGGGGGACTTCAAATATATACTGGGTGGTGGTTCTAGCCTGATTGAAAAATATTAGTCAATCCAAACAGTTCCCAAACCTTCCCCAAATCTCCACTTGCCCATCGCAGCACGTTGCCGCTTTTTCTACCTCAATGCCAGCTCCAGGCTGTCCCACCTAGGCGTGGCAAAGGCAGAGAATGATGCACCAAACTCAAATGATGTGCCAATCTTGCATTTCAATAATGGATTTCAATGAAAGCACGCACAGACAGCTGCGCACTTTTCCCCCTTTCTCTACTCATCATCGTCGCCGGTTTGCTCACTGCCCCCCTGCATCTCCTCCGGGAAGTGCATCTCCAGCAGCTCGGCCAAGCCCTGCTGATGTAGCGGGGCTCTGCTGGTGCAAATCTGCAGGGCCGCCTCCTTGTTGATCACGTTTGAGAGCCATGCCCACGACCGCTTGCACGAAGTCCACCCGCGGTAGCGGATGCCCAACTGCATGCCTCAGAGCAATCTGGCCCTATCCCATCAAAAACCCTTTAGCGCCCATCTCCCTTACCCCCTTGTCAAAATGTCAATTCAGAGAACTGTCATGATCTCATGAAATTACAAAACGCTCAACTTGCAAGCTGCCTTCAACACGCAAAATGATTCGGTCGGGAAAACCAGAAATAGTAAATTTAAACAAAGCGGTTGCCGACATTGCAACAACCAAGCTGCAAGCGGACGTCAGGCAACCGGAGCCTGGCGTCAGATCCTCCACCTCGACCACCTGGTGGTTGCGGAGGATGCCCAGCCAAAACGCCCGAACCTTCGACTCCGCGAAGAACATCGGGATGTCATCCTCCTCCCAGCCAGAGGGCGCCATCACCTCGTCTTTGCCCATGTTAAAGATCGAGGCTTTGTCAGCCCTGGACACCCTTGGAAGGCTCTGAACCTTGGCACCGCTGAAGCAACAAGAGTCTCACCATGACAATCAAAATAAAAATGAAATTAAATCAATGGCCACGCATTGCACCAAGTGGCCTCTGCAGGCGGCACATTGGCATACAAGCAGTCCGCAGTGGTCAGCGAGGCCTTGCTGTCCCTCACGAACTCATCCTGGCGCAAAACAGAGTTCAAAGCTGACTGCATGTCTTCATAATACTAGATTTAATGATTCAGAAAATAATTGAACAGTGAAAAAGATCATAAGCCCTGTGCGCTGTCCTCGCGGGCCTTGCACGCCAGTCTCACCCGGCTGGCTGGAAGACCAATCAACGCCACCTCCCGAGTGCAGTCCGTGCCAAACACCTCACGGGTGCCTCCAAGCTTGCAGGCCTGAATCAGGGGGGTGGGGCAGGCTTCCACACAACAAAGGCGATGTGACCACAACTTGAATAATGTGGGGCCGCCAAACAACAGGCATATCATGACAATGAATTTAAACATAACATAAATCCTTCAAACCTTTGTTTGCCTGTTTAACTCTGCACGCCGCTGCCTTCTGGTACGACACCCAAAGCTCCACGCACTCAGTGGACGGCCTCTTGGACAAAGCATCCTCCAGGACCCGCCTGCATTCGCGAGACTTCCCGTCAAACATCATGTGCAGCTCGCTCTCTCTGCAGCCCAGCTCCTTGATGCAGCTTGCGAGCATGGCCAGCGTCTTTGTAGCATCGGTCGTCAGGGCGCCGTGGGTGAAGCTGGTCATTGGCCCCACCAAGTCCGCGCTGAAAATAACTGCCCGGTGCTTTGCGTTGAGCTCCAAGCTGACGCCCTCGTTCTGAGACCTTGTGTCAAGCAGCAGCTGCTTCAGCTCCGCACCGGTCTTTGGCGGCGATGGCAGGTCAGAGAGGTTGTGGAGGGTGCAGTACTTCTCCCTCACCGCGATGGCCTTCTCCCAGACCTCCTTTCTTTCCTTCTGAGCACGAAGCACCCGCTCCGCTTCATCATCATTGGATCCCAACCGGATCAACGCTCTTCCTGTCAAGGCAGGCACAGCCACCTCTGACTGCACGGCCTTGTCCTCCAAAGCCTTCATAGCGCTGTCGATGGACTTGCCCATGCTGGTGGTGTCCTTTTCAACCATGCGGACGACTGCTGTGGCATCGCCCTTGGACTCCAAGGCGATCTTGGCCAGCGCCTCTGAAAACTCTCCTGCGATGCAGGAGTGAAAAACATCCAGCAGCTGGTGCTCCTTCGCGGGCATGGCCTCCTTGGCCTTTTTCAGCACCTCTTCCTCGTAGGCGGCCACAGTCTTGTCGGCCGTCTTGTCCACCTCATCGCTGGGCGGGGAAGGCTCCAGCTTTGGCACAAGCGCAAGTGGGGATAGGTCCACCAAGGCAGCCTGGCAAGCCTCTGATGCCCGTGACTTCGTAGCCACAGAGCGCAGAAAGTTCTGAAGCTGCATGCGCGCCCAAGCCATGTGCTCCCAGCCCGTGCCGTTCTTCTCCTTGCCAAACAAAAATTCATCATTCAGCTCCCCGATTTTGCATGGCTCCACCTTCAAGTCATACAGGAGGGCAGCAAGCACACTCTCCAGGCCATCCTGGAGGGCACATGTTCAAATAAACTGTTTTGGCAAAGGCACCCACCCTTGTGAAACAAACTTCAACCCAACACTGTCACGCACCACACATTGTCACCAAGTTGAAAATCCGGCCCGCCAACTTGCACAAGCCCAACCCGTGTCACCACAGTACCCCATATCCTGCTGTGTGGATACAGTATAATGCCATCGCCCGATGGCAAAACCAACAAAATATTGGAGACACACTCTGAGGCTAGTGTGGCAGGATGGAACAAGGGCACGGCACTACTACGGATTCACCTTCAAACAATGCGATGGCGCCTTCATCTACACGCAAACCGCACTGAAACAATCACACATGCAGTTGCACACACACACACATGATAGATCTCATTCACCGTTCTGTGTTTGGCGCGCTGCAAGAACATGTGAGGGTGTTCAAGGTTTGAGTTCAATCACACCCCAACAAAGATCTGCCAACATCTGTCACTGTGTTCTAAAACTGGTGTCGGCATCCCAGGCCCATAATTGTCACTTTCTTGTCATTGTGTTGTCAATGTGTTGTCACGCATGAATCGTTCCGTTGGAGGGCGTCTAAAACTTGTCAGGCATGAAGGAAGGGTCTTCTGGGCCGCTTTGACCTTGTCACGTGATGATGTGAGGGGGTAGGGTCACCACTCTTAAATGCAAGAAGGACTCCTCCCCCCGTTGCCCTTTGTTCGCACAGGTGCTAGTCAGAGCAAAGGCAGCCTCAGATTAACATGTTCAGTGTTTTTGCGCCTTGCCAAAAGGTGATGCATCCGGGGGATACATTGAAAACAAATTAAATCTCCCTAAATACCATGAACACAGCTCAGTTCACAGCAAAAAGTTGTCCTGCGACTCCGGCCCATCGTCAGAGCCCTTCCCCAAGTTGGCAGCGACCGTGACAAAGCGATACAGCTTGCTGTAGTTGCTGAAGATGTGGCGCCCCCACCACCGCTCCAAATACTTCCTCGTATCAATTATTGATGTTTGCCCGATGCTATTTGAACTCTCGAGCAAGACTAGCAAGCTGACGCAAACAAAGGCCAAATACATAACAAACCAAACATGGCCGGCTTATTGCAAGAACGAGCTGCAACAGCTGCAAGCTTGTGCTTCCCGTTGCAAATGCGTTGCCCACACTCACTGCTGCGGCCAACATTGTCTTGTTCAGGCGGTTGCCTCCGTATGCTAGGTCGGGGAAGCGAACCTTCAGAGCTGCAAGGATCTTCGCCTGAGAAGCTCTGTCCGCCTTGCTCAAGTCATCAATGACCACCTTGAGCTTGCCGCTGAAGATGGCAAACGGGTCTGCCAGAGTGCTCAGCTCGTGCATGGTGTTGGAGACCCCGATGCTGGCCTAGTTGATTCCACAACAGAGTTCAACTATAACAACCCACATCCCCAGACAGCAAAAACCAGCAACCTACGACTCAAAATGAAATTATTCAAATTCACAAGTTGCCACAATACGATGACAGGAAGCAGCAGCACACTCCGCAGTGGTGTTGAGAACTCTCAGCAGCAGCGTTGGGGTCAGCGCGCACTCCATGAGCAGCTCAAACTTGTCCTGCTGGTCTTTGGAGGTCAGCGCCTCAAACGTTGCCAGCCACCAGGCAAAAATCAGACAATGCCCATGCAGAAGTTGAAGCGACTGTGGAAACTCCTCTGCAGCGGGCAACCTGTCAGAGGAGATCTTGCACTCCAGCTTCACGGGCAACATGATCCTGGACCGCTCCTTCGATATCTCCTGAAACGAGGCCAAGCGTCGGGAGCTTGTCAAAGGTTCAACCATTCATGTGGGGAACTGAGTTTAAACGAACTAATATACAGTTTAAGTTTTCAGGGGTAGCATGGCAATTCAACCACCAACAATTAATGTCCTGGGGCTGCAAAAAGCTGGTCTTGGCTTGGACCACCATGTCATAGGTGATGTCTGCAGCTGTAGCCGCGCCATCCGGGATAGCGCTCAACCAAAACAAACTTCCTGCAGCCTCATAAAGCCGCTCCTTTGCCAATGATTTGGCACAATTCCCCGGCTGCCACGGCTCCTTGTAGGTGGAGCCAGCGCCAGCCACCTGGTTGCCCCAATCAAGCGGCAGCAGCTCCTCCAGCTTGCCAGTTGGAACCTTCCATTTGGCCTTGATGTGCCACTGCACCTGAGCATAAGCGAGTCTCTCACTCTGACCAGGGCGAAAATATAAAACCAAAATAACATCTGACTGAAGTGAAGGCAAATAACCCACTCAATGACCTGAGTCATGATCGGCGCCGCAGTTCTGGTGTCGCCATCGTGCGGCAGCTTCGGAGTCAGCGGAGGGGGCCCACCACTTGAAACAAGCTGCTGCTGATTCTGCTCGGTCGCAGTCGCAGCTGGTCGGCTCTTCTTGGCAGCCTCCTCCCGGCAATAATGAATCAGGATTGAATCAGCTGAGACATGGGTCCATGCAACAT